GCTCATCATCACCTTGACTGACAGAACCGAATCCATTCGTCGCCACACTCAACTCTTAGCTGCGCAATATACGTCATCAATTTTGTCCGTATAGCCTCTCCCGTCACAGAGGAAAGCGATGAAAAGCGGAGTGGGCGGGGACCGTTGGGCAATGCGAATGTGGCTTGGGAAGCGGAGAAAAAAAGTTAAGGATTATGCAAATCACCAGCGGCGAATGTGGAGCGATGACCAATCCAATTGAGTGGTTCCCAAAACTCCCATGAAGCTCTGCAACCAAAGGCCAGAGAGTTGCTTCAGCAAAGATGGCTTACAAAAATGCTAGGATGGAAGCAAATGTAGGTAATTATAACTTCAAAAAGAATCATGCAAAACATTTACAGTTAAGAGGAATATGTTAGTTAATGTAGAGACAAAAGATTATGTATACCGACAAACGAAAATCTCTATTTAGCAAGCTAGCTGACTAGCTAACATCGTTATATTTAAATTAACCTATGAATCTCAACTAGCATAGCCGATTGTATTGATTTTAAACTTGATGACGTATGATGTTTTGCCTGTGAATAAATTAATGAAACAGAGAATGGATTAAACTATTTACCCCATTTAATAACCAGACATTTTTTTTGGACATTTTAGTCATTTTAGCAGACGCTCTTATCCAGAGCGACTTACAGTTAGTGAGTGCATACATTTTTCATACTGGCCCCCCCGTGGGAAACGAACCCACAACCCTGGCGTTGCAAGCGCCATGCTCTACCAACTGAGCTACAGCAGACCTTCATACAAACCTGCTATGCTCAATTATTGAGGCCCAACTGAACGTGCTGCAGTATGCTGCCACTCTGGGCGGCCATAGTGGCATGCGGCCAGTTATAGATGTATAGTCCATATGGGCTGTAGTATCTGTTCTGTAGTGAGAGCATCAGGATGTCTGTGATAAGTTACACTGCCTGTAGACTGATTCTAGCCCAGATGCAGTTTGGATTGATTTAAAAGTAATGATTTTATTTCTGTTAAGCATTAATTGTGTTCAAAAAAGTGCTACCGCAACAGCTAGGTCTATTTCCCAGGCTAGGCTATGCTACTAGGCTAGGCTATGCTACTAGGCTATGCTACTAGGCTATGCTACTAGGCTAGGCTATGCTACTAGGCTATGCTACTAGGCTATGCTACTAGGCTAGGCTATGCTACTAGGCTATGCTACTAGGCTATGCTACTAGGCTAGGCTATGCTACTAGGCTATGCTACTAGGCTAGGCTATGCTACTAGGCTATGCTACTAGGCTAGGCTATGCTACTAGGCTAGGCTATGCTACTATGCTAGGCTATGCTACTAGGCTATGCTACTAGGCTAGGCTATGCTACTAGGCTAGGCTATGCTACTAGGCTAGGCTATGCTACTAGGCTAGGCTATGCTACTAGGCTAGGCTATGCTACTAGGCTAGGCTATGCTACTAGGCTAGGCTATGCTACTAGGCTATGCTACTAGGCTAGGCTATGCTACTAGGCTATGCTACTAGGCTATGCTACTAGGCTAGGCTATGCTACTAGGCTAATTATCAAACTGTTGAGGCCCAACGAGATAGTAACTTGCATTGGACCTCTGTATTTCACACGTACAGTGGGGAGAACAAGTATTTGATACACTGCCCATTTTGCAGGTTTTCCTACTTACAAAGCATGTAGAGGTCTGTAATTTTTTTCATATGTACACTTCAACTGTGAGAGACGGAATCTAAAAACAAAAATCCAGAAAATCGCATTGTATGATTTTTAAGTAATTAATTTGCATTTTATTGCATGACATAAGTATTTGATCACCTACCAACCAGTAAGAATTCCGGCTCTCACAGACCTGTTAGTTTTTCTTTAAGAAGCCCTCCTGTTCTCCACTCATTACCTGTATTAACTGCACCTGTTTGAACTCGTTACCTGTATAAAAGACACCTGTCCACACACTCAATCAAACAGACTCCAACCTCTCCACAATGGCCAAGACCAGAGAGCTGTGTAAGGACATCAGGGATAAAATTGTAGACCTGCACAAGGCTGGGATGGGCTACAGGACAATAGGAAAGCAGCTTGGTGAGAAGGCAACAACTGTTGGCGCAATTATTAGAAAATGGAAGAAGTTCAAGATGACGGTCAATCACCCTCGTTCTGGGGCTCCATGCAAGATCTCACCTCATGGGGCATCAATGATCATGAGGAAGGTGAGGGATCAGCCCTGAACTACACGGCAGGACCTGGTCAATGACCTGAAGAGAGCTGGGACCACAGTCTCAAAGAAAACCATTAGTAAAACACTACGCCGTCATGGATTAAAATCCTGCAGCACACGCAAGGTCCCCCTGCTCAAGCCAGCGCATGTCCAGGCCCGTCTGAAGTTTGCCAATGACCATCTGGATGATCCAGAGGAGGAATGGGAGAAGGTCATGTAGTCTGATGAGACAAAAATAGAGCTTTTTGGTCTAAACTCCACTCGCCATGTTTGGAGGAAGAAGAAGGATGAGTACAACCCCAAGAACACCATCCCAACCGTGAAGCATGGAGGTGGAAACATCATTCTTTGGGGATGCTTTTCTGCAAAGGGGACAGGACCACTGCACCGTATTGAGGGGAGGATGGATGGGGCCATGTATCGCGAGATATTGGCCAACAACCTCCTTCCCTCAGTAAGAGCATTGAAGATGGGTCGTGGCTGGGTCTTCCAGCATGACAACGACCCGAAACACACAGCCAGGGCAACTAAGGAGTGGCTCCATAAGAAGCATCTCAAGATCCTGGAGTGGCCTAGCCAGTCTCCAGACCTGAACCCAATAGAAAATCTTTGGAGGGAGCTGAAAGTCCGTATTGCCCAGCGACCGCCCCGAAACCTGAAGGATCTGGAGAAGGTCTGTATGGAGGAGTGGGCCAAAATCCCTGCTGCAGTGTGTGCAAACCTGGTCAAGACCTACAGGAAACGTATGATCTGTAATTGCAAACAAAGGTTTCTGTACCAAATATTACATTCTGCTTTTCTGATGTATCAAATACTTATGTCATGCAATAAAATGCAAATTAATTACTTAAAAATCAAACAATGTGATTTTCTGGATTTTTGTTTTAGATTCCGTCTCTCACAGTTGAAGTGTACCTATGATAACCATTACAGACCTCTACATGCTTTGTAAGTAGGAAAATCTGCAAAATCGGCAGTGTATCAAATACTTGTTCTCCCCACTGTATGGCCATATCGCACAGCTAAACATCTGCACTGTCTTCCTGCTCTTTTTGTCTCCATTTCCTTCTGCAAAAAAAACACATTTATTGTCATCTGTCTCAGTCTAAAGGAAATATCCAGTTGGATTTGGAATCAGATCAATACTTCTATTCGTATGCTGAATTACTAAGCCTGAGTCTATAGTAGTCACCCCAACATCCCATTAGGACTGTAGAGCCAACCGTAAAAAACAATCCATCGGGTGTCTTCCTTAAATAAAATAATTAATTATATCAACTATAAAATACTATTATAAATGTGTTTTTTATTTAATTCAAAATACACATTTTCATCACACCTTTTGGGGTGTGGTGACTGGTGACAGTTGTGATGGCTGTTGTGATGGCTGTTGTGATGGCTGTTGTGATGGCTGTTGTGATGGCTGTTGTGATGGCTGTTGTGATGGCTGTTGTGATGGCTGTTGTGATGGCTGTTGTGATGGCCGTTGTGATGGCTGTTGTGATGGCTGTTGTGATGGCTGTTGTGATGGCTGTTGCGGCAGGATATGGGTTTTCGTTATGATGTTGTTGCATTCATAGAGCATCAGAATATTTTCATATTTCCTCAGTCTCTCCTCCCTCCTCCACCCCCAAAAAATGACCTTTAACATTTAACATTTAAGTCATTTAGCAGACGCTCTTATCCAGAGCGACTTACAAATTGGTGCATTCAACTTAGGATAGCCGGTGGGACAACCACATCTTGATCACAGTAAGTACACTTCTTCAAACAAGCAGCTGTGAGCAAAGTAAGTGCAATCAGGGACAACCACATCTTGATCACAGTAAGTACACTTCTTCAAACAGGAAATAAAGAATGTTCTTTAACTTAGGCCATATACATGGCTGGCTCTAGTCTTTTGTGGGCCCTAAAGCGAGATTTGGTTGCCACCCCCCCCCCCCCCCCCCCCCCCCCCACCCCAACTCGCAGGCAAACCATTTTAGTGGCTCCCCCCTCTTGACAGTGCAGAGGAATATTTACATTTTTGAATGAATTTCCTGCAATTCTAGTAATTTTGCCGTGGGGCAGAGATACAAAACAAATCTGTTTTACAGCACATTTCCTGAAATTCTACCCATTTTGCCGTGGGGTTGAATCAAGTCTGATTTTATTTGTCACGTGCTACGTAAATAACAGGTGTGGACTATCAGTGAAATGCTTACTTATGGGCCCTTTCCCACCAATGCAGACAGAAAGAAAATAGAAAAATATAGTTTTTTTTTTTCTCACATTTTGCCATGACTTATGCCATGTGAGAGTGAGAGTGACTAACAAAATCAATGGGGGCTCACTGCATGTCAAGGCCCCTGGGCACGTGCCCTTCGTGCCTGGTCGGTATTCGGCCATGATTAGTACAACTTTAGCTAGACTAATTGACCAAACTAAAAATTGTTAGCTGACATGGCTAATTGAGTGACTGTCAGGTGACTGACATAACAAGAGAAAAACTGCTGATTGTGTATTCTATTACTCTAACTCTCAACAGTAAGTTGAGACCCAGACTGTTCCCTAGCGGCCTGGGGCCCAAAGTGACCGCTTATGTCGCTTAATCCTGGACCCGGAACCTGGCCACACATAATTATACAGTATAATCACCACTAACAAATATATTTGTGAATATAGTAGACCCACTAAACTTGGCCGCGTCTGGTTTCAACAAGCGCATGCGCGCTTGGAATAAGGTTAGCTTTAGTGGGAGTGTGCTTTGTGTAGCCTACGGGGAAGTTTTATGAAATGGGATATTGTATTGACTCAACAGGAAAAGGACTTCGGTTTAGAGTAGTACATCGTCAGAGGACAACAATAAATACTGTCGGTGACATCAACGCAGGAAGGCTACTTTATTGTGCTGTAGAAGTTTTGACACGTTTCTCCTCAACCGGGCAGTGCGGCTCGTTTTTAGCATACTCTCTTCTGTTAATGTGCTAGAATAATAAGTGTCATTTCGCTTGATAAGTTTGCCAATGACACCGTTGAACTTGACATGAAGGAGAAAACGCTTCTTCGCGCTAAGTTCCACTGGACTTCAACAGCAGCAACAGCTGGAATAGTTCTGCTGAGTTTGTTTGCATGGTCTTGTCACGCAGAAGAAGCATCTTGTCACGGAGCTTACGACTTGTACTTTGTTCTAGATAGGTAAGTGACATTTGTTGTAACTTGGAATGTGTTACCCTGTTATGTTCAGGGATGGAAACAATAAGAATGTTGCTACGATGTGACAATGTAACAACAACAGTGTCAATGTAGCTACGATGTAACAACAATGAAGCAATGTCACATTAAGCCTAGAAATGTACACAGTCACATTGATTATTCATATGGTTCAAATCAATCATGCTTGGTCCCGTACAGCAGCTGAAAGGTTAAATTGGTTAGTTCCCGGCCTAGAATGCAGGCCTAAATACATTAACCTGCCGAACAGTCCAATAAATATTTTTCCCCCAAAAGTTATCTGAAAAAAAAAAAAATATATATATATATATATATATATATATATGTTGTTGTCATTTTCGTTATTGGATACAAACGACTTTAAAATCACCAGGAAACGAGCCCACTCATATAAAGAGCCATATGATTGTATCCCAATGTAATCGAGGTTTGAAATTATTCAGTTTATCTCAAATTCTACATCTGTTTGGGATTCTTGCGGTACATTTGCAGTGTACAAATTATTCATAACTATGTTCCTGCCCCCCTGACCATCCGCTCAAGAAGAAAAAAAAATCGTCCAAAAGGCTGAATGTAATTGGTGACCCCTGCCATAGGTCTATGCATATGAAACAATATGGCAGCCATATAGACTGTATGCCTATTGGAAGCACTGTTTAGATCTGCCTAACCATGATACATTGTAAAGATAACATGACGCTACTTAGACAAAGCTTTTGTGTGGTCTTAAACCCAGCCCTCACTGCAACCCCGATCCTTTGTAACACATGGAGAACTCTTTCCAGTTCTGCAAAAGTTTAGAGGAAGAGGAGGTTCGGTGATGCATACCCATACTGTCTCAGCAAGCGAACTGACTTGATACAACAAACGTTTTAAGTTTTGACTTAATTATTCTTCTCTATCAACTTCTAGACCAGGAAATAAACATTGCCCGTTGCAGCTCTGCACCTCCCTCCAGTTTCAAACCCCTCTAGTCTACTGCTCCACCCTGTTTCCAAATATATAATGACAGGATGATGCAGAGATTACTGCTGATACCATTGATAAACTAAAAGGGCTTTTTGAGAGCTGCATGGGGCCCAAATACTGTGCTTTCAGAAAGTAATAATATGCCATTTAGCGGACGCTTTTATCCAAAGCGACTTACAGTCATGTGCACATACATTTTTACGTATGGGTGGTCCAGGGGATCGAACCCACTACCCTGGCGTTACAAGCGCCATGCTCTACCAACTGAGCTACAGAGGACCAGAGGAAAGTGTTCATACCCTTTCACTTATTCCACGTTTTGTTGTTACAGCCTGAATTCAACATTTATTAAGTTGTTTTTTCTCACCCGTCTACACACGATACCCAATAATGGCAAAGTGAAAACATGTTTTTAGACATTTTTGCAAGTTTTATTGAAAATGAATTACAGAAATATCTCATTTACATACACTACCGTTCAAAAGTTAGAAATGTCCTTGTTATCGAAAGAAAAGCAATTTTTTTGTCCATTAAAATAACATCAAATTGATCAGAAATACAGTGTAGACATTGTTAATGTTGTAAATGGTTATTGTAGCTGGAAACGGCTGATTTTTAATGGAATATCTACATAGGCGTACAGAGGCCCATTATCAGCAACCATCAGTCCTGTGTTCCAATGGCACGTTGTGTTTGCTAATCCAAGTTTATCATTTAAAAAGGCTAATTGATCATTAGAAAACCCTTTTGCAATTATTTTAGCACAGCTGAAAACTGTTGTGCTGATTAAAGAAGCAATATAACTGGCCTTCTTGAGACTAGTTGAGTATCTGGAGCATCAGCAATTGTGGGTTTGATTACAGGCTCAAAATGGCCCGAAACAAATAACTTTCTTTTGAAACTCGTCAGTCTATTCTTGTTCTGAGAAATGAAGGCTATTCCATGCGAGAAATTGCCAAGAAACTGAAGATCTCGTACAACGCTGTGTACTACTCCCTTCACAGAACAGCGCAAACTGTCTCTAACCAGAATAGAAAGAGGAGTGGGAGGCCCTAGTGCACAACTGAGCAAGAGGACAAACACATTAGAGTGTCTATATTGAGAAACAGACGCCTCACAGGTCCTCAACTGGCAGCTTCATTAAATAGTACCCGCAAAACACCAGTCTCAACGTCAACAGTGAAGAGGCGACTCCGGGATGCTGACCTTCTAGGCAGAGTTGCAAAGAAAAAGCCATATCTCAGACTGGCCAATAAAAAGAAAAGATTAAGATGGGCAAAATAATACAGACACTGGACAGAGGACGATTGGAAAAAAGTGTTATGGACAGACGAATCGAAGAACATTTGTGAGAAGCAGAACAAATGAAAAGATGCTGGAGGAGTGCTTGATGCCATCTGTCAAGTATGGTGGAGGCAATGTGATGGTCTGGGGGTGCTTTGGTGGTGGTAAAGTAGGAGATTTGTACAGGGTAAAAGGGATCTTGAAGAAGGAAGGCTATCACTCCATTTTGCAACGCCATGCCATACCCTGTGGACAGCACTTGATTGGAGCCAATTTCCTCCTACAACAGGACAATGACCCAAAGCACAGCTCCAAACTATGCAATAACTATTTAGGGAAGAAGCAGTCAGCTTCTGTCTATAATGGAGTGGCCAGCACAGTCACCGGATCTCAACCCTATTGAGCTGTTGTGGGAGCAGCTTGACCGTATGGTACGTAAGAAGTGCCCATCAAGCCAATCCAACTTTTGGGAGGTGCTTCAGGAAGCATGGGGTGAAATCTCTTCAGATTACCTCGACAAACTGACAACTAGAATGCCAAAGGTCTGCAAGGCTGTAATTGCTGGAAAATGGAGGATTCTTTGACGAAAGCTAAATTTTGAAGGACACAATTATTATTTCAATAAAAAAAATCATTATTTCTAACCTTGTCAGTGACTACATTTCCTATGCATTTTGCTATATTTCCTATTCAAACTAATTTCTTGTATGTTTTCATGGAAAACAAGGACATTTCTAAGTGACCCCAAACTTTTGAACGGTAGTGTAACTGTTCACACCCCTGGGTCAATAGGGTAGAGTCACCTTTGACCTTCGATTACAGCTGAGACTCTTTCTGGGTAAGTCTCTATGAGCTTTGCACACCTGGATTGTACAATATCTGCACATTAGTATTTTTTTTTAAATCTTCAAGCTCTGTCAAGTTGGTTGTTGATCATTGCTAGCCATTTTCAAGTTTTGCCATAGATTTTCAAGCCGATTTAAGTGAAAACTGTAACTAGGCCACTCAGGAACATTCAATGTCGTCTTGGTAAGTAGCTCCAGTGTAAATTTGGCCTTGCATTTTAGGTTGTCATGCTGAAAGGTGGATTTGTGTCCCAGTGTCTGTTGGAAAGCAGACTGAACCAAGTTTTCCTCTAGGAATTTGCCTGTGCTTAGCTCTATTCCGTTTCTTTTCATCCTAAAAAACTCCCTAGTCCTTGCTGATGACAAGCATACCCATAGCATGATGCAGCCATCACCAATGTTCCCTATAATTTTTCAGGAAAAATATTAAAATTAAAAAAATCAGGCACTGAGCAAATTTCAGGTCTGCTGAGCAAACTTGAACGTTGTGAAAATTCTGTGCAACTTCCAGCGTGCATTTACTGTGAACACAGGCTGTACCCCCTTTAAGTTACAGTTTTAACAGTGGCCAAGTAGGCTACTATGGCAATTTGATCATAATGTAGGCCTACCAGAGTAGCCTACCAAAACAATGGAGAAAATGCATCCCATAACATTTTAACATGGAAATAGCTGGTCTATCATTCAGTCTACAGTAGCAGCCAATGTGTGGTGTTCAATGTAGGCCTACATTCCGTGAGACTTTTGAAAGAAAAAAAACATGCAGGGCTTGACATTAACCTGTTTATCAACTTGTCCTTCAGACAAGGAGGTGACTGAAAATGTTGTTGTGTTGTTTGATGCAAGAAACTACTTTACAAAATAAAAAGCTTTATTATTCCCAAACCATTATTAAAGAGAATCAGACAAATTATGCTACCCTCTGCCTATTGGCTACATAGCTTATTCAAACCAGGTCTGTGTAGAGTATGGGCTGAGTCATGCACAATAGAATCCTACTCTGATGCATTGTGCCTACAACAAAATCTCTTGCACAGTTCGTTTTGTTTCGGTATGTTGCATTGGAAGTGGATAATATTGCGTTGATTCGATCACAATTGCCACAGTAAAGGGAAACGTTGATAGCGTTAACTAACAGGGGAAACTCTAGAGAGTTGAGTGAAGTTCAATCTCGTGCTCCGTGGGCTGATATTTCATCTGCGCTCTGCCGGCAGTCTTGGGGCTACTGCACACAGCTAAGAGGGAACATTGGCCGCCACCATGCTTGAAAATATGAAGTGTTGGATTTGCCCCAAACATAACGCTTTGTATTCAGGACATAAAGTTAATTTCTTTGCCACATTTTTTGCTGTTTTAATTTAGTGCCTTGTTGCAAACAGGATCTTTTTATTCTGTACAGGCTTTCTTCTTTTCACTCTGTCAATTAGGTTAGTATTGTGGAGTAACTATAATGTTGTTGATCCATCCTCAGTTTTCTCCCATCACAGCCATTAAACTCTGTAACTGTTTTAAAGTCACCATTGGCCTCATGGTGAAATCCCTGAGCGGTTTCCTTCCTCTCCGGCAACTGAGTTAGGAAGGAAGCCTGTATCTTTGTATTGTGGTCCTCTGTAGCTCAATTGGTAGAGCATGGCGCTTGTAACGCCAGGGTAGTGGGTTCGATCCCCGGGACCACCCATACGTAAAAATGTATGCACGCATGACTGTAAGTCGCTTTGGATAAAAGCGTCTGCTAAATGGCATATTATTATATTATATTATTATTGACTGTGTGTATTGATACACCATCCAAAGTGTAATTAATAACTTCACCATGCTCAAAGGGATATTCAATATCTGCTTTTTCTATTTTTACCCATCTACCAATAGGTGCCCTTCTTGGAAAACCTCCCTGGTCTTTGTGGTTGAATCTGTGTTTGAAATTCACTGCTCGACTGAGGGACCTTACAGATAATGATGTGTGTGGGGTACAGAGATGAAATAGTCATTCAAAAATCATGTTAAACACTATTATTGAAAGAAAAAACGAATACATTCAAAAGCTTTAACAAGAGCAAGGTATTGTGTTTCATTTGAAAACAGCTTAACATAAAAACAGAATATCATCCCACCACCCCTACCTTTCCGTTTACTCAAAATAACACGTACACAGAACAATATATTCCATTGTAGTTCTTGAGTCCATGCAACTTATTATGTGACTTGTTAAGCAAAGTTTTACTCCTGAACTTATTTAGGCTTGCCATAACAAAGGGATTGAATACTTATTGACTCAAGACATTTCCGTTTTTCAGTTTTTTATTAATTAGTAAACATTTCTAAAAACATAATTCCACTTTGACATTATGGGGCCAGTGACACGAAATCCATTTAAAATTCAGGCTGTAACACACCAAAATGTGGAAAAAGTGTGTGAATACTCTGAAGGCATACAGTACTTTGGCCTACTAGTAAACATTAGAAACAAAAGCCAACTGCATGTTGCAGTGAACGGTCCGTCAGTCCAACACCATAGCCATTACACCAAGAGGTCCGAAGCTCTTGAGGTCAGTACTGACGTGTAGGTGTTGTAACGAGGACCAATGTAATGTATTCACAAAGTTAATCACCTCTTTGCCAGACAGAAACATTGACCTTGTCTTGGAGATGGGGGAGGAGAGAAGCTGTGTGAAAGATGGTGGCCCTAATGGTGAATCTCTCATGTTTTAATGTTCTCTGCACATACATTGAATTGTAATTATTAGTTTAATTACTCCGATGTCGTTATCATCAAGGGCAGATTTAACACACTGACTGTGTTCACATTGCTCACTTTGACTGATAGAGGGTAAGCACACTCCAACATCACCCTCTTGACTGTTGCAGTCACATTTAGGAACATGATGTATCTCAATGATAACAATAATAACACAAGCTATGAGTCATCATATCAGTTATCAACCAAAATAGTTTATTTAATGAAACTAGGTGGTATTGGCATTGTAGCAAGGAAATGACCAGGAAGTAAACCAAGGATGTAGACCAGGACGTAAACCAAGGAAGTAGAACAGGAAGTAGACCAGGAAGTAAACCAAGAAAGTAAACCAGTGAAGTAGACCAGGAAGTAGACCAGGAAGTGAACCAAAGAACCAAGGAAGTAAACTAAGAATGTAAACCAAGGAAGTAAACCAATTAAGTGAACCAATTAAGTGAACCAATTAAGTGAACCAAGGTAGTAGACCAGGAAGTAGACCAGGGAAGTATTCCAGGGAAGTAGACCAGGGAAGTAGACCAGGGAAGTAGACCAGGGAAGTATTCCAGGGAAGTATTCCAGGGAAGTAAACCAGGGAAGTAAACCAGGGAAGTAAACCAGGCCACAGCACTTGTGATGCAGCTGTAGACACTCACATTATCAGTGGTTTTGGCACAACAACGCTTTAATAACGTAAATAATGTTACCAATGTCTCTAATCTCTCTGCTCTTCTCATCATGACCACCATAATGAATCCTTTATCCATCTGTAGAGACATCCAGTTCTTGCAGGAGGTGATCAAGTTCAAACATTCTCCTAAGGAATTGTGTGACTCAAGTTTAATTTAGTTTCAAAGACAATGTGGTTGTCTTTCATCTACTGTATCTGAAAGCATCGGTCTGAACAAATTCAGCTTATTCGTGCTGTGCTCAATTAACAGCACTCTGCAGGCCTAGTCAGCAAGTCTAACTGTAGCAGCTCTATGGATGTAAATCATCACAATTGTAGGTTAAGGTGCTCTTTGGTGAAGGGGTTATTGGTCAGCAAAAACAACAGGAGGATCAAGGCAGTCTTCATGATTATTAAAATGCCTTTATTGTTGTGGGCTCGTCCAATGGAACAGAACTCTGCAAGTCAACTGTGTTTTCTCTGTTGCAGGTCGGGAAGTGTTTCTAACGACTGGGGTGAGATTTATGCCTTTGTGAAGAATCTGACAGACCGATTTGTGAGGTAAGCATTTTGGATGCTTTACAAATTACTTGTGGTCTGGCGAAGGGACAAGGACTGAGTGTAATGGAGAAGACTTGTTGATTGCTTATGCTCCCCGATGAGCGTTGGGTAAGTAAAGGGAGGACTGGATATGTTTGTTAAAATGGATTCTGAGGCCCTTGGAGATTTCAACAAATCAACAAATGCCACTTTTGTCTATGCCCAGCTTTATATCACATCTGAGTTTCTATCTATCTTGTACCTGTTTTTAAACGTTCTTCTGACCAACTTCTGTCTAGCTAAACGACTAATCAAATTCTTCCCAGTCCATTAACAAATATAGCCTAACTCTGCATACTGTACCGACTACCGTAGTAAACAGTCCTCATGTCCAACCTGTGTTAAACAAGAGGAGAAAAAGGACCAATTAAATTAAATTGCAGGCTGAATCTTTTAGCTTGCGTAACAACGTTGGTTGACTCAATGCTATGTGCCAGTCCAGACGGTATCGACCCAGCCAAACTGAAATGAAGAAATGGTTTGTTGAAGAACATAGCAAGCAGGCCAGGTGGGAGTGGGAGGCAGCGAGGATCAGTCTTATGGGCTGTGAGAATGGCCATTTGTACCAGGGTGGTCCAGATCCACACATAGATATCTATCTCCCCTTCCTTCCACAGAAAGGGGGCCAGAAGACCTGGGTTCAAGTACTATTTGATATCTTTCAAATACTTTGAGCGTTTTTGTTCTCGCCTTCCAAAAGGGCCAGACGGGCGGGGTTTACAGTATTGCGATTATTCAATTGGTCCATTAAGCAAGGCAGGCAAGCTCAATCAAGTGCAGATAAAGTATTTTAAATGATTCAGAATAGTATTTTGAACCCAGGTGGTCCTGCACGGAATGGTCCAGGGAGAGGCAGGGAATGTACAGTAAGGCAAAAGAACACAGAGAGGCGAGGACAATCTGCTACACAATGCTCGTTTACCAGGAACACTTCTGCTCTGCCATGTGGAGCATGCAGGCTGGAGAGATATCTCTCTTCTGGTTTTTCTCCAGATTTGGATTTTATCCCTGGCACTGCAAGCAAGCTCTTGATTTATTCAGTGTTGTTTGAAGAGAAAACTGAAGAAAAAAAAAAAGAAGATTTAATTGCAATTATAATTTCAGCCTTGCCTGAGATGTTAGGCAAACATCTTTAGATATAAGATCAGTAAAGTATGTATGGGGAATAGATTGGATTCTAGCCAGTCCATCACCTGTCTAAAGTTACAAATAGTACAAATATTTTGACTCACACAATTTCTCATTTATCACTAAATCCAATTCTCAATCTCCACAAACAAATTACTCAGTCAGGCTCTAAAAATACATATTTAGTAAGGACATGATCCATACGTCTGCTGTGTTTTTTTGCCAGACCTGTCCGTGTGGCTAAAAGATGCAATGTGGTCTGACTGTGGGCAAGGACTAGCTGAGACTAGCTGAGACTAGCTGAGACTAGGCCATGTGTCATGTGGGTGAGAGAAAGCAACACCTCTCCTTATGCTCTGAAGAACGCTCGCATCTCTGAGGACTCTACTGGTCCAGGAAATACTGTATATACATATTTACTCAGCTAAATATTTTTCAGAGTTTATAAAGGCAGTTGTTGTTTTTTTTTGCCAAATATTTATATCCATGTACAGCTGTGTTTGCACCTTAGGATCAGTCAAGGCAAAACTAACGGGCAGGTGGAACAGCTAGATATAGATCGTGTGGGTTTGGTCTGGAACAAAGCATATGACTTTCCATTACCCATTCACACCCTCATAAAGTGACAGGTATAAAAATATATTGCACAACATCCTGTGTGTGTGGAGGTGGTGGTGGTGGTGGTGGTGGTGGTGGGGGGGGGGGGGGGGGGGGGGGGGGGGGGGGGGGGGGGGGGTTAATCATTGTCATGACAACCTGTTTACTGTCTGTTAACCACTTCCTCCCTCCTCAGGAGAACAGCATATCCTCCCTTAAATCACATACTGTACTAGAATCAGGTGATACAAACTAGTGTATTGGTATCTTGTATACCATGTAACGTTTGTTGGTAGTTTGCTTTTCTTCACACTGCGTATCTGAAATAATGTATTTACACTTCACAGTCTATTCAATAACTGTCTAACTCATTCTGGGTTTGTCAAGTCAATGAGATCCTAATGGTCAAACCTTCACATATTGTTGAGTGTTACATTACTGTGCAGTCTAGAATAGTATACAATAATACTAATGAAAATACTGTATATTGACCTGATATATATTCTACTGTATATTGACCTGATATATATTTTACTGTATATTAACCTGATATATATTCTACTGTATATTAACCTGATATATATTCTACTGTATATTGACTTGATATATATTCTACTGTATATTGACCTGATATATATTCTACTGTATATTGACCTGATATATATTCTACTGTATATTGACCTGATATATATTCTACTGTATATTGACCTGATATATATTCTACTGTATATTGACCTGATATATATTCTACTCTATATTGACCTGATATATATTCTACTGTATATTGACTTGATATATATTCTACTGTATATTGACCTGATATATATTCTACTGTATATTGACCTGATATATATTCTACTGTATATTGACCTGATATATATTTTACTGTATATTAACCTGATATATATTCAACTGTATATTGACTTGATATATATTCTACTGTATATTGACCTGATATATATTCTACTGTGTATTGACTTGATATATGTCTCCCGAGTGGCGCAGTGGTCTAAGGCACTGCATCGCAGTGCTAGCTGTGCAACTAGAGATCCTGGTTCGAATCCAGGCTCTGTCGTAGCCGGCCGTGACCGGGAGACCCATGGGGCGGCGCACAATTGGCCCAGTGTCGTCCAGGGTAGGGGAGGGAATGGCAGGCAGGGATGTTGGTAGAGCATGGTGTTAGCAACGCCAGGGTTGTGGGTTTGATTCCCGCGGGGGGCCAGTATGATTTTTTTATTTTTATATATGTATGCACTGTAAGTCGCTCTGGATAAGAGCGTCAGCTAAATGACTAAAATGTAAATGTAAATGTAAGGGTTAAGGAAAGGTAAAGACCTGATATACACTACCAGTCAAAAGTTTGGACACATACACATTCAAGGGTTTTTCTTTATTTTTACTTTATTTTACATTGTAGAATAATAGTGAAGACATCAAAACTATGAAATAACACATATGGAATCATGTAGGAACCAAACAAGTGTTAAACAAATCAAAATATATGTTATATTTGAGAATCTTCAAATAGCCACCCTTTGCCTTGATGACAGCTTTGCACACTCTTGGCATTCTCTCAACCAGCTTCATGAGGTAGTCACCTGGAATGCATTTCAATTAACAGGTATGCCTTGTTAAAAGTTAATGTGTGGAATTTCTTTCCTTCTTAATGCGTTTGAGCCAATCAGTTGTGTTGTGACAAGGTAGGGGGGGGGGGGGGGTATACAGAAGACAGCCCTATTTGGTAAAAGACCAAGTCCATATTATTGCAAGAACAGCTCTAATAAGCAAAGAGAAACAACGGTCCATCATTACTTTAAGACATGAAGGTCAGTCAATACGGAACATTTCAAGAACTTTGAAAGTTTCTTCAAGTGCAGTCGCAAAAACCATCAAGCGCTCTGATGAAACTGGCTCTCATGAGGACCACCACAGGAATGGAAGACCCAGAGTTACCTCTGCTGCAGAGGATAAGTTCATTGGAGTTACCAGCCTCAGAAATTGTAGCCCAAATAAATGCTTCACAGAGTTCAAGTCACAGACACATCTCAACATCAACTGTTCAGAGGGGACTGTGTGAATCAGGCCTTCTTGGTCGAATTGCTGCAAAGAAACCACTACTAAAGGACACCAATAAGAAGAAGAGACCTGCTTGGGCTAAGAAACACGAGCAATGGACATTAGACCGGTGGAAATGTGTCCTTTGGTCTGGAGTCCAAATTGGAGATTTTTGGTTCCAACCGCCGTGTTTTGTGAGACGCGGTGTGGGTGAACGGATGATCTCTTCATGTGTAGTTCCCACCATAAAGCATGGAGGACGAGGTGTTATGGTGTGGAGGTGCTTTGCTGGTGACTCTCTGATTTATTTAGAATTCAAGGCACACTTAACCAGCATGGCTACCACAGCATTCTGCAGTGATACGCCATGTCATCTGGTTTGGGCTTAGTTGGACTATCATTTGTTTTTCAACAGGAACATGACCCAACACACCTCCAGCCTGTGTAAGGGCTATTCTATCAAGAAGGAGTGTGAGGTGGTTTTGGATGAGTCGGACGGCAGAGTGAAGGAGGTGAGTGGCGAGTGGCGCAGTGGGCAAAGGCATTGCATCGCAGTGCTAGCTGTGCCACTAGAGACCCTGGTTCGAATCCAGGCTCTGTCGTTGCCGGCCGCGACCGGGAGACCCATGGGGCTGCGCGCAATTGGTGGTAGGGGAGGGAATGGCCGGCAGGGATGTAGCTCTGTTGGTAGAGCATGGTGTTTGCAACGCCAGGATTGTGGGTTCGATTCCCACGGGGGGCCAGTATGAAAAAAAGAATGTATGCACTCACTAACTGTAAGCCGCTCTGGATAAGAGCGTCTGCTAAATGACTAAAAACAAAACAAAAACAAGGAATAGCAGGTAAAAAGTGCTCAGCATATGTGGTATCTCCTTCAAGACTGTTGGAAAAGCATTCCAGGTGAAGCTGGTTGAGAGAATGCCAAGAGTGTGCAAAGCTGTCATCAAGGCAAAGGGTGGCTATTCTCAAATATAAAATATATTTTGATTAGTTTAACAATTTTTGGTTACTACATGATTCCATATGTGGTATTTCATAGTTTTGATGTCTTCACTATTATTCTACAATGTAGAAAATAGTAAAAAATAAAGAAAAACACTTGAATGAGTAGGTGTGTCCAAACGTTTGACTGGTAGTTTATATTCTACTGTATTTTAACCTGATATATTTTCTACTGTATATTTACCTGATATATATGTATTCTACCGTATATTGACCTGATATATATTCTACTGTATATTAACCTGATATATATTCTACTGTATATTGACCTGATATATATTCTACTGTATATTAACCTGATATATTTTCTACTGTATATTGACCTGATATATATTCTACTGTATATTAACCTGATATATATTCTACTGTATATTGACCTGATATATATTCTACTGTATATTAACCTGATATATATTCTACTGTATATTGACCTGATATATATTCTACTGTATATTGACCTGATATATATTCTACTGTATATTAACCTGATATATATTCTACTGTATATTAACCTGATATATATTCTACTGTATATTAACCTGATATATATTCTACTGTATATTAACCTGATATATTTTCTACTGTATATTAACCTGATATATATTCTACTGTATATTGACCTGATATATATATTCTACTGTATATTAACCTGATATATATTCTACTGTATATTAACCTGATATATATTCTACTGTATATTAACCTGATATATTTTCTACTGTATATTAACCTGATATATATTCTACTGTATATTGACCTGATATATATATTCTACTGTATATTAACCTGATATATATTCTACTGTATATTAACCTGATATATATTCTACTGTATATTAACCTGATATATATTCTACTGTATATTGACCTGATATATATATTCTACTGTATATTAACCTGATATATATTCTACTGTATATTAACCTGATATATATTCTACTGTATATTGACCTGATATATATATTCTACTGTATATTAACCTGATATGTATTCTACTGTATATTGACCTGATATATATTCTACTGTATATTGACCTGATATATATTCTACTGTATATTGACCTGATATATATTCTACTGTATATTAACCTGATATGTATTCTACTGTATATTGACCTGATATATATTCTACTGTATATTGACCTGATATATATTCTACTGTATATTGACCTGATATATATTCTACTGTATATTAACCTGATATGTATTCTACTGTATATTGACCTGATATATTTCTACTGTATATTAACCTGATATATATTCTACTGTATATTAACCTGATATATATTCTACTGTATATTAACCTGATATATATTCTACTGTATATTAACCTGATATATATTCTACTGTATATTAACCTGATATATATTCTACTGTATATTAACCTGATATATATTCTACTGTATATTAACCTGATATATATTCTACTGTATATTAACCTGATATATATTCTACTGTATATTAACCTGATATATATTCTACTGTATATTAACCTGATATATATTCTACTGTATATTAACCTGATATATATTCTACTGTATATTAACCTGATATATATTCTACTGTATATTAACCTGATATATATTCTACTGTATATTAACCTGATATATATTCTACTGTATATTAACCTGATATATATTCTACTGTATATTAACCTGATATATATTCTACTGTATATTAACCTGATATATATTCTACTGTATATTAACCTGATATATATTCTACTGTATATTAACCTGATATATATTCTACTGTATATTAACCTGATATATATTCTACTGTATATTAACCTGATATATATTCTACTGTATATTAACCTGATATATATTCTACTGTTTTGTTTCCTTCCAGCCCCAGCATGAGGGTTTCCTTTATAGTTTTCTCATCTTCAGCCAAAGTGATGTTACCTCTCACTGGAGACAGGTATGGTATTCCTCCTATTGACAATGACATAACATGTTATAAGCCTTGTAATAACAGATTATAAGATATGGCATATAGAAGCTCATGAAAATGATCAGAGGAAGTTCAGGAGTAAAAACAAACAAAATATAATTATTGACTGTGGTGGTCCTCTGTAGCTCATCTGATAGAGCACGGCGCTTGTAACGCCAGGGTAGTGGGTTCGATCCCCGGGACCACCCATACACAAACATGTATGCACGCATGACTGTAAGTCGCTTTGGATAAAAGCGTCTGCTAAATGGCATATTATTTATTTATTGACTGTGTCCATAAAATGTATATAGTATGTATAAGCATGAAGTAGAGGCCTAAGCATTGTTTTTCATTAGTTTACTCCAATTAGGGAAGGGTAGGTGGGGTTGGAAAGTAATAAAGGGAAATATATATATTTTTAAAGGATATGTATGTATATATATGTATGTATATGCTTATATGTATGTGTATGTATGTATGTATGTATGTATATATATATATATATATATATATGTACATATATATATATATATATATATATATATATATGTACATATATGTACAGTGGGGAGAACAAGTATTTGATACACTGCCGATTTTGCAGGTTTTCCTACTTACAAAGCATGTAGAGGTCTGTAATTCTTATCATAGGTACACTTCAACTGTGAGAGACGGAATCTCACAAAAATCCAGAAAATCACATTGTATGATTTTTAAGTAATTAATTTGCATTTTATTGCATGACATAAGTATTTGATACATCAGAAAAGCAGAACTTAATATTTGGTACAGAAACCTTTGTTTGCAATTACAGAGATCATACATGTCCTGTAGGTCTTGACCAGGTTTGCACACACTACAGCAGGGATTTTGGCCCACTCCTCCATACCTTCTCTAGATCCTTCAGGTTTCAGGGCTGTCGCTGGGCAATACGGACTTTCAGCTCCCTCCAAAGATGTTCTATTGGGTTCAGGTCTGGAGACTGGCTAGGCCACTCCAGGACCTTGAGATGCTTCTTACGGAGCCACTCCTTAGTTGCCCTGGCTGTGTGTTTCGGGTCGTTGTCATGCTGAAAGACCCAGCCACGACCCATCTTCAATGCTCTTACTGAGGGAAGGAGGTTGTTGGCCAAGATCTCGCGATACATGGCCCCATCCATCCTCCCCTCAATACGGTGCAGTCGTCCTGTCCCCTTTGCAGAAAAGCATCCCCAAAGAATGATGTTTCCACCTCCATGCTTCACGGTGGAATGGTGTTCTTGGGGTTGTACTCATCCTTCTTCTTCCTACAAACATGGCAAGTGGAGTTTAGACCAAAAAGCTCTATTTTTGTCTCATCAGACCACATGACCTTCTCCCATTCCTCCTCTGGATCATCCAGATGGTCATTGGCAAACTTCAGACGGGCCTGGACATGCGCTGGTTTGAGCAGAGGGACCTTGCGTGCGCTGCAGGATTTTAATCCATGACGGCGTAGTGTGTTACTAATGGTTTTCTTTGAGACTGTGGTCCCAGCTCTCTTCAGGTCATTGACCAGGTCCTGCCGTGTAGTTCAGGGCTGATCCCTCACCTTCCTCATGATCATTGATGCCCCACGAGGTGAGATCTTGCATGGAGCCCCAGACCGAGGGTGATTGACCGTCATCTTGAACTTCTTCCATTTTCTAATAATTGCGCCAACAGTTGTTGCCTTCTCACCAAGCTACTTGCCTATTGTCCTGTTGCCCATCCCAGCCTTGTGCAGGTCTACAATTTTATCCCTGATGTCCTTACACAGCTCTCTGGTCTTGGCCAGGTTGGAGTCTGTTTGATTGAGTGTTTGGACAGGTGTCTTTTATACAGGTAACGAGTTCAAACAGGTGCAGTTAATACAGGTAATGAGTGGAGAACATGAGGGCTTCTTAAAGAAAAACTAACAGGTCTGTGAGAGCCGGAATTCTTACTGGTTGGTAGGTGATCAAATACTTATGTCATGCAATAAAATGCAAATGAATTACTGAAAAATCATACAATTTGATTTTCTGGATTTTTGATTTAGATTCCGTCTCTCACAGTTGAAGTGTACCTATGATAAAAATTACAGACCTCTACATGCTTTGTAAGTAGGAAAACCTGCAAAATTGGCAGTGTATCAAATACTTGTTCTCCCCACTGTATATGTATGTATATGTGAGAGAAAAAAATTAAAAAAACATATTGGAAGTGATGCAGACAATTACATTGATGGAAGTTACAATCTATCTGCAATATTAAAGCTGATCTACCCCCTAGAAAAAAATTATAATAATAATAATAATAAGATTATAAGCGTTCATATTACATGCTTATAACAGCCATAACATGAACAAAGAAAGTCCACTAAGGCAATTTTTATATGTATCTTTTATATGTAAAACACCTACCAGAAAATGTTGGATAGTGAGTTGATGTCTTTCTGTTTGAAGATATGAAATCCAGGAAGGCCTGGAGAGACTGAGAGAGGTGAAGCCAGCAGGGGAAACCTACATGCATGAAGGGATTAAAGAGGTACAGTATGTGTAACACGTTGGATAGTCCCCAATAGATACTTTACAGATGTTCAACTAACTATCCACTAACATTTTACATTTTAGTCATTTAGCAGACGCTCTTATCCAGAGCGACTTACAGTTAGTGGGAGCATACTTTTTTTTTTTTTTTCATACTGGTCCCCCATGGGAATCGAACCCACAACCCTGGCGTTGCAAGCGCCATGCTCTACCAACTGAGCTAACCCTAAACCTAACCCTAAAGCTAACCCTAAACCTAACCCTAAAGCTAACCCTAAAGCTAACCCTAAAGCTAACCCTAAAGCTAACCCTAAACCTAACCCTAAAGCTAACCCTAAAGCTAACCCTAAACCTAACCCTAAACCTAACCCTAAACCTAACCCTAAAGCTAACCCTAAAGGTAACCCTAAAGCTAACCCTAAAGCTAACCCTAAACCTAGTCTGACATTGACCCTATCTGTGCTAGCCTAATAGCTAGGCCTTGCTGTGTTTTTATCTGTTTGGCTGTTTAGATAGGGAGAAATTCAAAAGCTTTCCATGCTGGAAATACTCCAGGTGAACTAACTAATACATTCTGACTCCTCTATAACAGTTAGCTTTGCATTTATTATATGTCTCCTTCTGTAGACATATCTGGTGTATTGGGTTGGGGTCACTGTCATTTCAATTATAGTCAACTCAGCCAGGAAGTAAACTGAAAAATGTAATTCCAATTCTAATTTTCCTAATTGGAAAGCATGAAGGAAAATTGTAATTGGAGTTGGAATTTCAGTTAACTTCCTGGCTGAGTTGACTGAATTATAGACCTAATGGAACTGACACCGACTCTACTGTATATTGTTATTCACTAATAATCTCATATCTCTGTTTACTCCTCCATTCCCACCTCTTGTGTTTGAACCAAAAGGCAAACGATCAAATCAAAGCCCAAGCGACCAAGTCCTCCAGCATCATTGTGGCTTTGACGGACGGAAAGCTGGCGGTCTATGTACAGCATCTAACAGTTGAAGCGGTGAGCTTGATTTCATCCAAACTGAACTATTCATGTTTACAAGTTTACAGTTTACAGGGGTGGTTTCTCAGACACAGATTTAGCCTAGTCTTGACTAAAAAGTATGCTCAATGGAACATTTCTATATATATATATTTTTTTTAAAGCTTGAAGTTCATGAGTAGGCTTAATCTGGGTCCAAGAATTCTGAGCCTTAAATGTCCAATGCAAAGTGTTACTTGTTGGTTCAAAGTTAAAGTTATTCCGTTTTTTTTTCTCTAATGCAGGCCAATGAAGCAAGGTACTACGGTGCTCGGGTGTACTGTGTCGGTATCAAGGACTTTGACGAGCAACAGTTAGCCGAGGTTGCTGACACCAAAGATCAAGTGTTCCCTGTTAAAGATGGCTTCCATGCACTCAAAGGCATCGTCAATTCAGTAAGACATGTTCATTCATTCACTATTTTACTGTAAATAAATGTGCAGTAGGGGTCGAGATTTCAAGTCACTTCATTGCAACCTTCTTGTGGAAAAAAAAAAAAAACTTCTGTTTGGAGAGGCAGACCTTCCCATTTAGGTACATGGAAAGAGCCTAGGTACATGGAAAGAGCCTATGGAAATAACTGCAGTGTAGGTAGGGAAGTCTGTGTTTTACCACACACAGTAACAGAACCCACAGGAGAACCCACAGGAGAACCCACAGGAGAACCCACAGGAGAACAGCACTGAGGAACAGCCTGATAGTTAGTCATTGGCAGTGTTGGGGAAGCTACTCTGAAAATATAGTTTACCAACCTACCAATTAATTTGCACTGGAAGAAGTTAAGCTACACTAAGAAAAACTACCATTAAGAAAAATAGATTTGACTTAACTAAAGTTACTTTGAAAAAGTCCAAACTACATCCAAACTACTTCGTGAAAAATTATCATATGTAAATCTGAAGTCATGGACTACAAATTGCAAGAACATGTCACTTTGGGATCATATGTTAACAGCCAATTAAACAAAACAAAAAAAAGTTCAAGTGAGAATTAGCCTGGTCTGATTCCGAAATAGAATTGAAGTTATTTTCTACTAAACACATATTTTATTTTATTTTTGCAAAGAGAGTAGTGTGTAGTTCCAGTAGTTAGCTACACCGCTACATGGTAAAACAGTAGTGTGTAGTTCCAGTAGTTAGCTACACCGCTACATGGTAAAACAGTAGTGTGTAGTTCTAGTAGTTAGCGACACCGCTACATGGTAAAACAGTAGTGTGTAGTTCCAGTAGTTAGCTACACCGCTACATGGTAAAACAATAGTGTGTAGTTCCAGTAGTTAGCTACACCGCTACATGGTAAAAACAGTAGTGGTAGTTCCCGTAGTTAGCTACACCGCTACATGGTAAAACAGTAGTGTGTAGTTCCAGTAGTTAGCGACACCGTACATGGTAAAACAGTAGTTGTGTAGTTACAGTAGTTAGCTACACCGCTACATGGTTAAAACAATAGTGTGTAGTTCCAGTAGTTGCTACACCGCTACATGGTAAACAGTAGTGTGTAGTTCCAGTAGTTAGCTACACCGCTACATGGTAAAACAGTAGTGTGTAGTTCCAGTAGTTAGCTACACCGCTACATGACAAAACATTTATTAACTACTGGAAACACTGCCAGGATTTGAATTTAGTTGAACTACCACCAAGCTACTGCAAAATGTAGTTACATTACTAACTGAACTGCAGGGTTTGACCAAAATCGAAAAGCAACACTCAACCCCTCATTGCTACAAAGCTCCAAAGCTGCAAAGTGTTGACCAGCTGAAATTACTGTTTGGGTTCCAAAGAAAACACAGAGAGAAACACAGAGAGAGAAACAGAGCATTTTTCAGTGATTAGTAATCTTGGATGCTGCTGGACATTGCTGGCCTTGTAAGTTCTCACTTGGATTTCTATGATTTGAAATCATCTGTGCAGCTTTCAACTTCCTGGGACCAGGAAGATCTCCACGTCTGCTGTGACTTCATGACAAATGTTACAGAAATTTGCCGGAAGTGAGAGAAGTCAGAGCAAGTTCAGATTGTTTTGATTGTTTTGATTTGAGTGTTTTTGTTGACTAGTTACAGTTTTGAAAAAAACGACTATTAGTGACTTCATATTCTAATTAAGGATATGAAGTATTATGCAACACTGTTGTGGTCATATTCTGTTATGCAGAAGCAGACTGCGCTTCATGTGTAGCATGTAGCAGAGGAAGGTCCAAAAAACTGTCAAAGACTCCAGTCACCCAAGTCATAGACTGTTCTCTCTGCTACCGCACGGCAAGCGGTACCGGAGCGCCAAGTCTAGGTCCAAAAGGCTCCTTAACAGCTTCTATACCTAAGCTATAAGACTGCTGAATAATTAATAAAATGGCCACCCGGACTATTTGCATTGACCCCCCCCCCCCCCCCACACCTTTGTTTTTACGCTGCTGCTACTCGCTGTTTATTATCTATGCATAGTCACTTTACCCCTACCTACATGTAGAAATTACCTCGACTAACCTGTACCCCTGAACATTGACTTGGTACCGGTACCCCCTGTATATAGCCTCGTTATTGTTATGTAATTTTATTGTGTTACTTTTTATGTTATTTTTTACTTTAGTTTATATAGTAAATATTTTCTTAACTCTATTTCTTGAACTGCCTTTTTATATGATAATGTCAGCTGTATGACAGTGGGCTCAGATAGATGTCGGCTCTGGATTTTTAATAGAACGGAGGAATGTAATAGTCTTGCATAATTTCTCCATAAATGATGGCACAGCTCCCACATCTCTTCCACTCTCAACCCCACATACAGTGGGGAAAAAAAGTATTTAGTCAGCCACCAATTGTGCAAGTTCTCCCACTTAAAAAGATGAGAGAGGCCTGTAATTTGCATCATAGGTACACGTCAACTATGACAGACAAAATGAGAGAAAAAAAATCCAGAAAATCACATTGTAGCATTTTTTATGAATTTATTTGCAAATTATGGTGGAAAATAAGTATTTGGTCAATAACAAAAGTTTCTCAATACTTTGTTATATACCCTTTGTTGGCAATGACACAGGTCAAACATTTTCTGTAAGTCTTCACAAGGTTTTCACACACTGTTGCTGGTATTTTGGCCCATTCCTCCATGCAGATCTCCTCTAGAGCAGTGATGTTTTGGGGCTGTCGCTGGGCAACACGGACTTTCAACTCCCTCCAAAGATTTTCTATGGGGTTGAGATCTGGAGACTGGCTAGGCAACTCCAGGACCTTGAAATACTTCTTACGAAGCCACTCCTTCGTTGCCCGGGCGGTGTGTTTGGGATCATTGTCATGCTGAAAGACCCAGCCACGTTTCATCTTCAATGCCCTTGCTGATGGAAGGAGGTTTTCACTCAAAATCTCACGATACATGGCCCCATTCATTCTTTCCTTTACACGGATCAGTCATCCTGGTCCCTTTGCAGAAAAACAGCCCCAAAGCATGATGTTTCCACCCCCATGCTTCACAGTAGGTATGGTGTTCTTTGGATGCAACTCAGCATTCTTTGTCCTCCAAACACGACAAGTTGAGTTTTTAACCAAAAAGTTATATTTTGGTTTCATCTGACCATATGACATTCTCCCAATCCTCTTCTGGATCATCCAAATGCACTCTAGCAAACTTCAGATGGGCCTGGACATGTACTGGCTTAAGCAGGGGGACACGTCTTGCACTGCAGGATTTGAGTCCCTGGCAGCGTAGTGTGTTACTGATGGTAGGCTTTGTTACTTTGGTCCCAGCTCTCTGCAGGTCATTCACTAGGTCCCCCCCGTGTGGTTCTGGGATTTTTGCTCACCGTTCTTGTGATCATTTTGACCCCACGGGGTGAGATCTTGCATGGAGCCCCAGATCAAGGGAGATTATCAGTGGTCTTGTATGTCTTCCATTTCCTAATAATTGCTCCCACAGTTGATTTCTTCAAACCAAGCTGCTTACCTATTGCAGATTCAGTCTTCCCAGCCTGGTGCAGGTCTACAATTTTGTTTCTGGTGTCCTTTGACAGCTCTTTGGTCTTGGCCATAGTGGAGTTTGGAGTGTGACTGTTTGAGGTTGTGGACAGGTGTCTTTTATACTGATAACAAGTTCAAACAGGTGCCATTAATACAGGTAACGAGTGGAGGACAGAGGAGCCTCTTAAAGAAGAAGTTACAGGTCTGTGAGAGCCAGAAATGTTGCTTGTTTGTAGGTGACCAAATACTTATTTTCCACCATAATTTGCAAATAAATTCATAAAAAATCCTACAATGTGATTTTCTGGATATTCTTTTCTCAATTTGTCTGTCATAGTTGACGTGTACCTATGATGAAAACTACAGGCCTCTCTCATCTTTTTAAGTGGGAGAACTTGCACAATTGGTGGCTGAATAAATACTTTTTTTCACCACTGTAGCTTTCCCTCTCTCTCTCACTCCCCTTCTCTCCCCCGCATAGCCCCCTCTCTCTCCCCTCTCTCTCCTACTCCTCCCTCCCATGGGTCCCTCTCTCCCCCACTCATCTTTGTCTCTCCCACTCCTCCCCCACTCCTCTCCCCCTCACTCCATCTCTCCCCCACTCTTCTAAACTCTCTAAACTCTTGACTAATGTCATCATATCCATTCCGTTTTGCAGATATTAAAGCAGTCCTGTACAGAGATCCTGACAGTGGAGCCTTCCAGTGTCTGTGTGAACCGTAAGTGTTGTTGTTGTGTGTGGGAATGTGAAGTGTTGCATTGCAGTCACACCCAGCTCAGGGCCTGTATTTATGTTCCATTGCTGGTCATAAAGACTGCCGTCCTGTGTTTTTGTGACCTTAGTGTTGTCCAGTGTGTGTGTCCTTAGTGTTGTCCAGTGTGTGTGTCCTTAGTGTTGTCCAGTGTGTGTGTCCTTAGTGTTGTCCAGTGTGTGTGTCCTTAGTGTTGTCCAGTGTGTGTGTCCTTAGTGTTTGTCCAGTGTGTGTGTCCTTAGTGTTGTCCAGTGTGTGTGTCCTTAGTGTTGTCCAGTGTGTGTGTCCTTAATGTTGTTTGTGTGTGTGTCCTTAGTGTTGTCCAGTGTTTGTCTTTGAGTGTTGTGTCTGCCTGTCTGTCTGTCTGTCTGTCTGTCTGTCTGTCTGTCTGTCTGTCTGTTTGTGTGTGTCTGTATATTTTTGTGTGTGTGTGTGTGTGTCTGTGTGCGTGTGTGTGTGTCTGTGTGTGTGCGTCTGTCTGTGTGTGTGCGTGTGTCTGTTTGTTTGTGTGTGTGTGTGTCTGCGTTGGGTGGTTGTGTCCTGTCTGTGTGTGGTGTCTTTCTGTGTGGTGTGTCTGTGGATGTGTTTACCTAACTTTGGGGACGCAGTATTCCCCTTTCCCCATATTTCCCCCCCCCCTTTTATACTCCCCCTTTTACCCCCCTCTTTTTTTCCCCACAGTTTCAAATTTTCCTATTTTTCCTTTCCCCCTATCCCCCTTTATTTTTTTTTTAAAATTTTTTAAATTTAATTTTTTTCCATCCCCCCCCCCCCACCCCCCCCCCCACCCCCCCCCAAACTTCTCCTCTCCTCTCTACTTCCCCCCTTTCCCACTTTTCCCCCTTTTTTTCCCCCCATTTTCCTCTCCTCCAAAACCCCTCCCCAAATCCCTCTCCTCATACTCCTCTCCTACTATTCCCTTTCCCCCACTATCTCCTCCCCATTTTTCCTTTCCCCCTCCCTTCCCCACTCCCCTCCCCTTTTCTCCTCTCCCCTATCCCCCCTTTTTCCTCTCCCCCTTCCCCTCCCTCTCTTTTCCTCCTTCCCTCTCCCCCCTTTTCCCTTTCCTCCCTCCTTCTCCTCCCCAATTTCTCCCCCCTCCTTCCTCCTCTCCCCCCATTTTCCCTCCTTTCCTCATTTTCTTTCCCCTTTCTCCCCCTCAAATTTTTCCTCACTTCTCCTTTTCCTTTTCCCTTCTCCCCTTCCCCTCACCCCCTCTTTTCTCTCCTTCCCCCCCCAACCTCCTTCCCCCCGGTTTTTCTCTCCTTTCCCCTCTTTCCCCCCCAACCCCCCCCCCCCCCCCCCCCCCCCCCCCCCCACCCCTTTTACCCCTTCACATCCCCTTTTTCCCCCCCCTTTTTCTTCCTTTTTAAAAATTTCCATTATTTTCCTCCCCTCCTCTCCCCTCTCCTCTTTCCTCTTATCCCCTTCCCCCTTTCCCTCCTCTCCTCATTTTCCCCCTCCCTCCTCCCACCGAAATCCCTCTCCTCTTTTTTCTCCTCCCCTCTTCTCCTCCCCTCCCCTCCTTCTCCTCTCCCCCTCCCCTTTTCCTCCTCTTCCCTTCCCCTCCTCCCTTCCCTTTTCTCTCCTCTTTCCCTCTCCCCCCTCTCCCTCCTCTCCTCTCTCCCCTTTTCCCCTTCTCTTTTTCCCCTCCCTCTTCCCCCTCCCACCCCCCCCCCCCCCCCCCCCCCCTTTTTCTTTTCCTCCTCTCCTCTCCTTTTTCCCCCTTCCCCTTTTTTTTCCTTTCCTTTTCCCTTCCCGCCCTTTTTCTTCCCTCTCCCCTTTCCCTCCTCTTCTCCTCCCCCTTCTCCTCCCTCTTCCCCCTCCTCTCTCTTCCCCTCCTTCTCTTCCCTCTCCCCCTTTTCCCCTTCCCCTTTCCCCTTCTTCTTCCCCCCCTTCTCCTCCCCTTTTTTTCCCCTTTCTTCTCCTCCCTCTCCCCCCCTCTCCCCTCTCCTCTCTCCCTCCTCTCCCCCCTTTCTCCCCTTTTCCCCCTTCCTTCCCTCTCTCCCCTTCGCCTCCTCCTCTCCTCTCCCATTCCCGTCTCCCCTTTCCCCCCTTTTCCTTTCCCCCCCCCCCCTTTTTTTTTTTTGGGGGGGTTTTTTTTTGTTTTTTTCCCCCCCCCCGGGGGGGGGGGGCCCCCCCCCCCCCCTTTTTTTATTCCCCCCCCTTTTTTGTTTTTGGGGGGGGGCCCCGTTTTTTTTCCCCCCCCCCTTCCCCCCCCCCTTTTTTTTTTTTCCCCCCCCCCCCCTTTTCCCTTTTTTCCCCCCCCCCCTTTTTCCCCCCTTTTTTCCCCCCCCTGCCCTCTCTTCCCCCCCCTCTCTCCCCTTTTCCCTTTCCCCCTCCTCTCTCCCCCCTCTCCTCTCTCCCTCCCCTCCCCCTTTCCCCCCTCTCCCTCCCTTCTCTCCCCCCCTCCCCTTCTCCCCCCCTCTCCCTCCCTTCCCCCTTCTTCCCTTCCCCTCCCCCCTTCCCTCGCTCTCCCCTTCCTCTCCTTCCCCCTCCCCCTCTTCCCCTTCCCTTTCCCCTCCCCCTTTCCCCTTTCCCCCCCCCCTCTCCTCTTCCTTCCCCCTCCCTCCCTCAAATCCTTTTTCCCCCCCCCCTCCTGCTCCTCTCCTTCCTCTGGTCCTCTCCTCTTTCCTCTCCTCTCCCCTCCTCTCACTCCCCTCCCCCCTCTCCTCTCCCCTTTCCCCCCGTCTCCCCCTTCCCCCCTTTCCCTTTCTTCTCTTTGCCCCATCCTCTTGCCCCCCCCTTCCTCCCCCCCCTTTTCCCCCCTCCCCCTTTCCTCTCCCCCCTTTCTTCCCCCCCTTTCCCGTTCCTTTTTTCCCCCTTTCCCCCCCCCCCTCTTTCCCCTCTCGCTCCCCTCTCCCCTTCCCCCTCTCTTTCTCCTCTTCGCCCCTCTCTTCCCCTCTTCCTTTCCCTTCCCTTCCCCCTCCCCCTCTTCCCTTTTCCCTCTCCCTTCCCCCTTCCCCTTTCTCTCCTTCGGGGGTTCCTCTCCCCCCTCATCTTTCCCCTCGTTCCCCCCCTTTTCCCTCTCTGGGAAACTTCCCCCATCCCCCTCCCCGGGTCTGTCCTCCTTGGGCCTCAACCCTCCCCCTTTTTCTTCCCTTCCTCCTCTTTCCTCTCCCCCCTCTCCCCCCTCTCCTCCTTCCCCCTCCCCCTTCTTTCCTTCCTCCTCTTCCCCCCTTTCATTCCCCCCCTCCCCTCTCCCTTTTCCCCCCCTCTCTTTCTTCCCCCCTCCCCTCTCCCCCCTGTTCCCCTTAAATTTCCTTTTCCCCTTCCCGGGGCCCTCTTCTTCCCCTTTTTTTCCCCTTGCCCTCTCCCGGGTCCTCTTCCTCTCCCCTTCCTCTTCCTCCTTCCCTCCCTTCCCCTTCGTTCTCCCTCTTCTTTTCCCCCTCCTCTTCCCTGCCCTCTCCTCTCCTCCCTTCCCCCCTTCCTCTCCTCTTCCCCTCCCCAAAACCCCCCTCTCTTTCCCCCCTTCCCCCCCGCCCCCTTCCCCCGGGCCCCCCCTCCTCCTCCCCTTTTCCCCTTCCTTCTCTTCTCCTCTCCCCCTTGTTCCCTCTCCCCTCTGTCCCCTCCCTTCCTCCCCTCCCCCCTCATCTCTCTCCTCTTTTTCCTCCCCTTTTTTTCCCCCTTTTCCCTTCTCCTCTTTCTCCCCCTCTGGAAATTTGGGGTCCCCCCTCGGTCCTCCCCCCTCGATCCTCCCCCTTCCTCGATGTCTCCCCCTTCCCCCTCTCCTCTCCTCTCCCCCCTTTCCTCCTCCTCTCTCCCCCCTCTCTCCTTTCTCCTCTTTCCTCTCCCTTTTCCCCCTCCCCCCCTTTTCTCTCCTTTTTTTCTCTACCCCCTTTTCCCCCGGGGTCCTCTTCCCCTCTCCCCTCTTTTCCCCCTCTTTTCCCCTTCCTTCCCCTTTCTTCCCCTCTCTGGGCCCCGCCTTTTTTTCCTTCCCTCCCTTTTATTTTTCTTCCCTTTTCCCTTTTTTTTTTCCTGATGACATGTCTGTCTATTATATCTGAAAAAATTGGGCCTGCCTGTGTGTGTGTGTATTTGTGTGTGTGTGCGGTAGTGTACAGGGGGCTCATTCAAGTCTCTTTTCCAGATAGGAAGCCAAACATTGTGCAGAACGATTATCTCCTGTGTCCTGCACCGGTGCTGTATGAAGTCGGACAGTAAGTAGTCAATAGGAAGGTGGTTCGATAAAGTGTGTGTGTGTGTGTGTGTGTGTGTGTGTGTGTGTATGTGACCCATGATTTGGCCAAAAACAGATAGGCACTGCAGAGATAATATATAGGAAAGGATATTCCTCTCTCATGTCATAGGTTTAATCCTCAACAACAACACTTGATACTGATGTTCTCTCTAATCCAATCTAAAATAGTATAATTACAGTAGGAGTGGGAAAACTATTTGGTCCTGAAGGTATCGCAAGAATCAACTCAGAAAGATTATTTGCGTTCCATAAGATTGATAGATTTATAGAAAGTTGATCTACTCACAATCCGACAGTAACACCATCTCCAATAATCCACTCAGATAATAATCCAAACTGCTGGTGATAACATGTTTTTGTACCGTTGTCCTGTGGTATTAAAGTTTCAATGTAGATTTACCTTATTTTCTCCTTCATTATAGACCACACTGGACCAGGGCCCGTATTCACAAAGCATTTTAGAGAAGGAGTGCTAATCTCAGATCAGTTTTGCCTGTTAGATCACGATGTCCTGATCCTAGATCAGCACTCCTACTCTGAGGCTCTTTGTGAATGCATGCCCGAAGTCTGACAGAACCTGAAGTCCTCCTGCTGCTGTTTTCTGAAGAGGCTCGCTTAATTAACTCTTGGCATGGGCACGGTGACCCGTTAAGTAGTTAGCTGCTAGGCCTGGTACAGCGGGCTGGGTAATGGGGTAAACACATCTGTTTATGGGGCTTTAAAGGGATGTGCGACAGATGCAGCGATTCCCTTCTCCACACTCTCTCCGTGTAAATAATTCAGCTTGCTACTGTGACAATCCCCTTTCCTGCCATCCCTTCCCCCCCCCGGACCACCTGCATCATGGAATCATGGAACATCTGAAAGTTCTGTCTCCGACTCCGTCCATCTGTTTGCCTCTGCTTTGTCAGAAGCTCCAATGTCACTGTTGAGTCGACGCTAGCCGGGGGCGATCGGCTGGTTAGCACGCTAGCAGGGGGAAAAGCCGGTAGACAGTTGAAGAAGGACTATAAAGTATAGATCTCTTTGTGTTCTCTGGTTTGGTCTATAGCGTGTGTAATGTGGTCCCTATAGATGGCTTTTCTGAAAGGGAAATTTGTGTTGTGCATATAAGAGCATTGGCAATGCACAATACACTTGTTGACGTGGCGGTGGCACAGTCCTCATCTGTGGTGACAGCAGTGGCATGGTTCAGCCCTGGAACACGGGCACCACCCCGTTAGCTTACCTCTCTGTGTGTTGGGGATAACGGGGTTAAGTGGCAGTGCTCTTGCCCAGACGTGTCTCACCTGATGTTCTCACAACAACAGTGCTCACCTGGTGTTCTCACAACAACGGTGCTCACCTGGTGTTCTCACAACAACGGTGGAGGTTAAAGCTAACTGAGAGACCTGGCTGACAGCTGGCGGACACCTGGCTGACTTCTGGCTGACTCCAGGCTGACACCTCTAACAGGCAGGACAGGACAGACGGCTAACGGCGCTAGCCTCGTCTATAATCTAACAGGACAATCAGAGGGCTCCGTGGGCTGCCGACCGTGTCAGTTGTCCAATTGGTACCATTTAGTGTCATAGCCATAAACATATTTGGGTCCTTGAAAAGCACTAGAAACATCCCCCCCCCCCTGCTATTATTGGGTGGAGCATTGGGGTCTGTCTCCCTCTAGCATTTACACCAGTTGCTGTAACAGGTATTGTTTTCAATGTAACAACTCTCTAGTTGACTCTTCCCTGTGCCCTGAAGGTAAAGAATAAGATGTGACTCCCCAATGGAAATACCACAAAGTGGAAGTATGATTCAATACCTTTCATCAATGCAACAGAAAAAAATCTGGATTTTTATGCATCAACTGATATGCACAGCAAGTCATGAGTAGCGATCCAAATATTTAGCCGGTTTAATAGTTCAGAGGAAACGGATTGAAAAGGAGAAATAGCATGGTCATAGTGTGGGTCTACAAAACCCCAAAAACATTAATACAGTGGGGAAAAAAAGTATTTAGTCAGCCACCAATTGTGCATGTTCTCCCACTTAAAAAGATGAGAGAGGCCTGTAATTTTCATCATAGGTACACGTCAATTATGACAGACAAATTGAGGAAAAAAATATAAAATGCTGCGACTTACAGAAATAAAAACATGAACATATCACGTGAAAATTATAAATGTTTTTGGACACGTGAAGTTTCAAATGGATTCAGACATGTGGTTTCCCAATATTTCACGTGTGCTTTAGTAAGCAGTGGGATTAGAACCCAGGTTTCCCACGGAGAAGCCAATGTCTTTACCATTAGATCAAGTGATTAGAACCCCGGTTTCCCACGGAGAAGCCAATGTCTTTACCATTAGATCAAGAGGGCTGACAATGTATATTTATTATCATTTTCTCTCAATCTCAGAATATTGACTGTTCAATTAAAAAAAAAGTGCTGTCAAACGTTACATTTAATGGAGATAATCGCAGGAATTGCTGTGATTAATCACGATTAATCGCAAATTCAGAATTTGATCAAATTTAGCTGTAATTGAAGATTTTCATATATATATATATATATATATATATATATATATATATATATATATATATACACAGTGGGGAAAAAAATTATTTAGTCAGCCACCAATTGTGCAAGTTCTCCCACTTAAAAAGATGAGAGAGGCCTGTAATTTTCATCATAGGTACACGTCAACTATGACAGACAAAATGAGGGAAAAAAATCCAGAAAATCAAATTGTAGGATTTTTTATGAATTTATTTGCAAATTATGGTGGAAAATAAGTATTTGGTCAATAACAAAAGTTTCTCAATACTTTGTTATATACCCTTTGTTGGCAATGACACAGGTCAAACGTTTTCTGTAAGTCTTCACACACTGTTGCTGGTATTTTGGCCCATTCCTCCATGCAGATCTCCTCTAGAGCAGTGATGTTTTGGGGCTGTCGCTGGGCAACATGGACTTTCAACTCCCTCCAAAGATTTTCTATGGGGTTGAGATCTGGAGACTGGCTAGGCCACTCCAGGACCTTGAAATGCTTCTTACGAAGCCACTCCTTCGTTGCCCGGGCGGTGTGTTTGGGATCATTGTCATGATGAAAGACCCAGCCACGTTTCATCTTCAATGCCCTTGCTGATGGAAGGAGGTTTTCACTCAAAATCTCACGATACATGGCCCCATTAATTCTTTCCTTTACACGGATCAGTCATCCTGGTCCATTTGCAGAAATACAGCCCCAAAGCATGATGTTTCCACCCCCATGCTTCACAGTAGGTATGGTGTTCTTTGGATGCAACTCAGCATTCTTTGTCCTCCAAACACGACGAGTTGAGTTTTTACCAAAAAGTTCTATTTTGGTTTCATCTCACCATATGACATTCTCCCAATCCTCTTCTGGATCATCCAAATGCACTCTAGCAAACTTCAGACGGGCCTGGACATGTACTGGCTTAAGCAGGGGGACACGTCTGGCACTGCAGTATTTTAGTCCCTGGCGGCGTAGTGTGTTACTGATGGTAGGCTTTGTTACTTTGGTCCCAGCTCTCTGCAGGTCATTCACTAGGTCCCCCCGTGTGGTTCGGGATATTTGCTCACCGTTCTTGTGATCATTTTGACCCCACGGGGTGAGATCTTGCGTGGAGCCCCAGATCGAGGGAGATTATCAGTGGTCTTGTATGTCTTCCATTTCCTAATAATTGCTCCCACAGTTGATTTCTTCAAACCAAGCTGCTTACCTATTGCAGATTCAGTCTTCCCAGCCTGGTGCAGGTCTACAATTTTGTTTCTGGTGTCGTTTGACAGCTCTTTGGTCTTGGCCATAGTGGAGTTTGGAGTGTGACTGTTTGAGGTTGTGGACAGGTGTCTTTTATACTGATAACAAGTTCAAACAGGTGCCATTAATACAGGTAACGAGTGGAGGACAGAGGAGCCTCTTAAAAAATAAGTTACAGGTCTGTGAGAGCCAGAAATCTTGCTTGTTTGTAGGTGACCAAATACTTATTTTCCACCATAATTTGCAAATAAATTCATAAAAAATCCTACAATGTGATTTTCTGGATTTCTTTTTCTCAATTTGTCTGTCATAGTTGACGTGAATTACAAGAATATTGACGTCTTGATTTTTTCGAAAGTAACGGTTAGCAAAATCAGGTAAATTGATAAACACACTTTATTTTAAGCACACTTTCTTTAAAATAGTCTATTGACGCACCCATGCGCCAATGTAATTAACATAAATAAAAAAGTCCTGATCAAAATCCGCCAGTTTAAGCTAGAGATATCTGTGTTTTGGGGTTGCGTCTCCACATCTGCCTTCCGCAGACATCCTGAAAATAGGTATTCTCACGGAAATGTCTGTACCATCCGAACCGTTTGGGCAACAAACTAATATGACCCCACTGTGGAAAGGGGAGATTCTCACGAACACGATGGTGTTCTTTGTTTTGTTCGTCTGAAGATATCCCGGTATCGGTTAAAAAAAATGAATGGAAGTATGGAGGTAATTTTGTGCCAACAAATAAAAGGAGTTAACCTCCAGTGTCAACTTGTTTTGACATTGCATCGTTTTAAGCTGCATACTGAAGTATTTTGGGTGTTTTCAGTGTATTTTCAACGCTTTCAGACAATGCGATTAATCAAGATTTTAAAAAAAAATTACTGCACCAAAATTACAAAAAGTTTACTTGATTTAACTGATTAACTCTGACAGCCCTAATTCAAATCATCTCTTTGTAGGAAAGTATCTGTTTACATTCATTCCAAAAGCAAACACATTCACACATTTTCAAATACTTTAAAATCCCTTTTAGCCCTGTGTATTAAATGTGACTAAAAACCAATGGACAGCTAACAATAACAGAAGCTAAACATAACTAGCTAGGACAAAATGGAAGGCTAGTTATTGCCTATCAATAACTTAGCCAGCTTTTAGCAATTAGCATGTGACCATTAGATACAAATCTAATAAAAAGTAACCATCTAAAATACATATCATTAGCGTGGTTCATATGTACATGTGTAAATACACTCAATGTGAGCCCTTGTTTGTAAAAATAAAACCATTTAAGATCCAAAACATTTATAATGGAAATAAAAAATAATCCGAAATGCCATCTTGTTCTCATCAACTTGCATACAAAAGTGAGCTAGCTAGCTAGCTACTTAGCTTGGTTACACATCTGTAAATGGGACAATCTCACTCGTTTTTCACTCGGTCCAAACAATGAAATTATACATCAAAATGTCCAGAAAACTCTAGATTTTGAAAACGTAACCATGCGTACAAACTGGAAAACAGGATATAAAAATAAGGAGACAGGGAGAGCTAGCTTCTCTGTTCTTTTCACTGGGCTTCTTCCAACGGTCACGGACTAATGTACGAAGAAGAGAGGCGCACGCCTGCAGCAGTAACACTCTGAATGCCTTTCCCTAGTGGTAGCGCTCAGTATACATGTATATCAATGCAACCCCATGAAGGACTACAATAATAATGGAGTGGATGGCTCAGAAATAATAATAAATAAATAAAATACGTTTCTATGGAATTTACAGTAACATATTGTACCTTAATTTTTCACATATGATTGTTTTTCACATGTGAACTTGAAATTCTACATGTGCAAGTGAGATTTACACGTGGAGTTTTCTTACATGTGAAACTGCAAATGCGATTTTGACATGATAACTTGAAATTCACATGAGGTGAAAACATGTTATTCTTCTAACGTGAAAAGGTGGTGTTAGCATGTGAAAACACGATTTTCACATGTCAAACTGCACATTTCTAGTTTTTTTATGTGCGGGGAGTGATAGTTGAAGACAGGGCTCCAGCTGTTAAATTGAGCCAGGGTTATGTCTGAATAGATGGGAGATGAGAGGGTTGAGTTGGGGTTATGTCTGAATAGATGGGAGATGAGAGGGGGAATGGAATGCCAGAGGTAGAATGAGCAGGTGATCACTCAGGGTTCACTCTAAGACCCTGTAAAGACTGACACACTTTCCCAGGGAAGACATGGCTGACATGGCAGACCTCTCCTTGTGTGACTGGAGATCTCTAAACTGGAATGTGGAGAAAGACCTGTGTTCAACTACTATTTGAAATCATTGTAAGTCCTTTTTCTGGGCTTGATTGAGCTTGCCTGTCTTAATGGACCAATAGAATAGTCCCAAAACTGTAAACCCTACCCCATTTGGCACTCCAGGTAGGCTACAGTAAACACTCAAAATATTTGAAAGATTTCAAGTAGTATTTGAACCCAGGTCTGGTCATTGGAGATCTCTGAGCTGGGATGTGGAAATGTCTCTTTCCCTCCACTCTAGTGGTCTCTGTGTCTAGCGGCTCCTGTCAGAGCGCCTCGTCGTTCGACGTGACGCTAAGCGCTAATGATGCGATACAGCTGGACCAGCTGACACCGGAGTCGCTAATGGCTTTCCAACTTTTCCTTAAAGATGGAGAAATTTAGGAGGGTGAATTATTCAGGGTTGAACATATCGCGAGGAGACCTGTCACTTAAGTTGTGGGAACGTCGCTCTGCAGAAGGACGTGTCACAGATACAGCCCCTCCTAAATGTATTCCACAATACGAGTCAAAGCTAAAGTCCCAGATACAGCCCTTCCTAAATGTATTCCACAATACCAGTCAAAGCCAAGTGGACAGAAACAAAATCATGAGGCGTAGTCATTTTTAAATGGACATAAATCCATAATGTAGGTATTCAATTTTTTTCTTTACATCCAATTGGTAGTTACAGTCTTGTCCCATCGCTGCAACTCCATACGGACTCGGAGAGGCGAAGGTCGAGAGCCATGCGTCCTCCGAAACGCGATCCTGCCAAGCCGCACTGCTCGCTAACCCAGAAGCCAGCCGCACCAATGTGTCGGAGGAAACACCGTACAACTGCCGACCAAAGTCAGCGTGCATGCGCCCCCGCCCCCCGCCATGAGGAGTCACTAGAGTGCGATGGGACAAGGGACATCCCAGCCGGCCAAACCCTCCCCTAACCCAGGCGATGCTGGGCCAAGTTTGCACTGGCTCATGGGTCTCCCGGTCGTGGCCGGCTGCAACACAGCCTAGGATCGAACCCCGGTCTATAGTGATGGCTCAAACACCGCAATGCAGTGCCTTAGATTTATTCTAATCCTCCATGTCTCATCTTTCAAAATAGATCGAGTCTTCATTTACAGCGTTACTCAGACAAAACAAAACATTTGCAAAAGTTGACCAATCAGCAGGAGGGATGGGGGGCAACGTCTTGTCGCGTGAGGTGCTCAAGTTCAGAACGTCTGTCAGTCAGAACCCATACAGAGCTGTGAAGCACAGAGCCAGAGGTCTGACGTCATGTATAGCATGTTACTGTCCAGACGCTGAGCTCTGACGTCATGTATAGCGTGTTACTGTCCAGCCACTGAGCTCTGACGTCATGTATAGCATGTTACTGTCCAGCCACTGAGCTCTGACGTCATGTATAGCATGTTACTGTCCAGCCACTGAGCTCTGACGTCATGTATAGCATGTTACTGTACAGCCACTGAGCTCTGACGTCATGTATAGCGTGTTACTGTCCAGCCACTATGTTTTAATTTAGATGCTTATCAGTGCCCAAATCTGCCATTTTCAACCCGTATACGGGTACGAGTGTAAAGGGCTACATGTGGAAATAGGAAAGGTGACATGAAGAGTGAATTTGAGGCTATTTAAAATCCAGTGCCATAGCAGCGGACAGTGGGACAGATGGTCAGGTGGCAGCTCATCTGTTGGAGCCACAGGAGGATAGAAGGCCCAGGGCAGAGCCCCAGGGCTGAACCCAGAGCACAGAGCACAAGCACAGACTACAACACGCACGCACACACACACACACACACACACACCAACCTTCAACTCCCACACACACCTTCATCCTCCACACACACGTTCACCCCACACACACACACACCTTCATCCTCCATACACACGTTCACCCCACACGCACACACACATACAGCCAGGCGAACACTCAAACCAGCCAATAGACAGTGTTTTACATATTTCTTCATTTTTTGGGGGGTGATTTCAGGCGTTTCAGTCGCTCCTGGGTTCTCATTAAAGACAGGGTAATTGGATGTGGCGTAACAGACATATGGAAATCGTTCTGCCGTTCATCATTAGGCTTTTAATTGCACCATTTTGGCCTCCTCCACCTCTTGCTAAATAAGTCATAGGGTCTGAAACGGCACCCTATTCCCTATATAGTGCACTGCTTTTGACCAGGGCCCTACTCTTTTGTATAGTGGTGTTAACATTGTGTGTTTCTAGGTCGATGGATGTCCTGATCAGTCTGAACCACGGTAAATCCTTCGTCTCCAGTGCCTTCACCATCTACGCCACAACATGTGTGAGTTTATATTCTGCCTTTGTCATGATTAAAATCTTTCTTATTTTCTGTCTGCAGTACATTATGTACAAAGCCTAAAACTCTCTCTGTGTACCTATCACTTGTGAGTACAGTGCCTTGCGAAAGTATTCACCCCCCTTGGCATTTTTCCTATTTTGTTGCCTTACAACCTGGAATTAAAATTGATTTTTGGGGGGGTTTGTATCATTTGATTTACACAACATGCCTACCACTTTGAAGATGCAAAATATTTTTTATTATGAAACAAACAGGAAATAATACAAAAAAACAGAAAACTTGATCGTGCATAACTATTCACCCCCCCCCCAAAGTCAATACTTTGTAGAGCCACCTTTTGCAGCAATTACAGCTGCAAGTCTCTTGGGGTATGTCTCTATAAGCTTGGCACATCTAGCCACTGGGATTTTTGCACATTCTTCAAGGCAAAACCGCTCCAGCTCCTTCAAGTTGGATGGGTTCCGCTGGTGTACAGCAATCTTTAAGTCATACCACCTATTCTCAATTGGATTGAGGTCTGGGCTTTGACTAGGCCATTCCAAGACAATTAAATGTTTCCCCTTAAACCACTCGAGTGTTGCTTTAGCAGTATGCATAGGGTCATTGTCCTGCTGGAAGGTGAACCTCCATCCCAGTCTCAAATCTCTGGAAGACTGAAACAGATATAGCATTATCCTTGATGGCCAAAAAGCTACATTTTAGTCTCATCTGACCAGAGTACCTTCTTCCATATGTTTGGGGAGTCTCCCACATGCATTTTGGCGAACACCAAACGTGTTTGCTTATTTATTTCTTTAAGCAATGGCTTTTTACTGGCCACGCTTCCGTAAAGCCCAGCTCTGTGGAGTGTACGGCTTAAAGTGGTCCTATGGACAGATACTCCAATCTCCGCTGTGGAGCTTTGCAGCTCCTTCAGGGTTATGTTTGGTCTCTTTGTTGCCTCTCTGATTAATGCCCTCCTTGCCTGGTCTGTGAGTTTTGGTGGGCGGCCCTCTCTTGGCAGGTTTGTTGTGGTGCCATATTCTTTCCATTGTTTAATAATAGATTTAATGGTGCTCCGTGGGATGTTCAAAGTTTCTGATATTTTTTTATAACCCAACCCTGATCTGTACTTCTCCACAACTTTGTCCCTGACCTGTTTGGAGAGCTCCTTGATCTTCATGGTGCCGCTTGCTTTGTGGTGCCCCTTGCTTAGTGGTGTTGCAGACTCTGGGGCCTTTCAGAACAGGTGTATATATACTGAGATCATGTGACAGATCATGTGACACTTAGATTGCACACAGGTGGACTTTATTTAACTAATTATGTGACTTCTGAAGGTAATTGGTTGCACCAGATCTTATTTAGGGTATTCATATCAAAGGGGATGATTTATTCTTTAGAATTTTTGAAACAAGTTATTTTTTTCATTTCACTTCACTAATTTTGACTATTTTGTGTATGTCCATTACATGAAATCCAAATAAAAATCCATTTAAATTACAGGTTGTAATGCAACAAAATAGGAAAAACGCCAAGGGGAATGAGTACTTTTGCAAGGCACTGTACATTTCTAACGTGTGTCTTACGTGTGTGTATGTATCTAACGTTTGTTTAACATGTATGTGTATGTATCTAACATGTGTCTAACGTGTGTGTATGTATCTAACGTGTGTCTAATGTGTGTGTATGTATCTAACGTGTGTTTAACTTGTGTGTGTATGTATCTAACGTGTGTTTAACGTGTGTGTGTATGTATCTAACGTGTGTTTAACGTGTGTGTGTATGTGTCTAACGTGTGTGTGTATGTATCTAACGTGTGTTTAACATGTGTGTGTGTATGTATCTAACATTTGTCTAACATGTATGTGTATGTATCTAACGTGTGTTTAACATGGATGTGTATGTATCTAACGTGTGCTTAACATGTATGTGTATGTATCTAACATGTGTCTAGTGTGTGTGTATGTATCTAACGTGTGTCTATGTGTGTGTGTATGTACCTAACGTGTGTTTAACGTTGTGTGTGTGTATGTATCTAACGTGTGTTTAACGTGTGTGTGTATGTATCTAACATGTGTTTAACATGTATGTGTATGTATCTAACGTGTGTTTAACATGTATGTGTATGTATCTAACGTGTGTTTAACTGTTGTGTTATGTATCTAACGTGTTGGTGTTGGTTTTTGGGTTTTTTAACTGGGGGTAAAAATGGTGTGTGTAACAAAAGGGAAGTGTTTTTAACGTGTTTTGGGGTTGTATTCTAACTTTTGTTTATGGGGGTTTAAAAACGTGTGTGTGTATTTTTTTTTTTTAAAATTTAACGTGTTTTTAATTTTGGTTGTATGTTCTAACATGTTTAAATGTTGTGAGACAAAAGTGTGTTAGTGTGTGGTATATTAACGTTGAGGTGGTGTAGTTTAAGGGGTTTTAACTGTTGTGATGATCAAGTGGTTTAAGGTGTGGGTATGTATAAAAAGTGTTTTAAGTGTGGGTTGATCTAACGTGTTTTTAAACGTTGTGTGTATGTTTTAACTGTGCTTTTTTCTCTCCCTTGTCAGTCGGGGGGCTTACAGACCATAGTTTTCCCGGTGCTGTGTTACTGGCAGCAGAGGGGGGGGGTTTCTGGCCTCTCTGTGCCCCGTGGGAGTCTTACAACAGTTAAGGATAAAAACATACAGATAGGGTTTTCCTCCCCTGGGTTTTAATCTGGATTTAAATGTTTTGTCATGAGCCATTTGTTGGGTAAGTATGTCACTACGAAAACTATTTCGTTACTCTGGAAGTTCTCTTTGTGTATTCTTGGTTCTACTCGATGTTCCAGAGCAATCATTAAAACAGAAGTCCCCCATAACTTTAAAAATCTTTTTGCAAAGAGATTTTTTCCGGAAAAAAGTATGTGGTGACTGACAGCGTGAACACAAACCCTTCTCTTCGGAGACAGCCAAGAGAGGGGGTAAAATAAAGAAGATAAACCCAGGTGAAAAAAAAGAAAAAAGGAAAAGAGAAGAGGGGGAGGGGAAAAGAGGGAGAGAAGGAGCGGGGGGAGAAGGAGGAGGGAGGGAGAGGAGGGAGAGAGAGAGAAGGAGGAAAGGAGAGGGGGGGGGGAGAAAGGGGGAGGGGGGGAGAGGAGGAGAGGAGGGAAAGGGGGAGAGAGAGAGGGAGAAAAGAGAGAGAGGAAAGAGGAAAAAAAGAGAGAGAGGCGAAAAAGAGGAGAGAGAAGAAAAAAAAAAGGAAAGGAGAGGAAAAAGAGGAGAGAAGAGAAGGAGGAAAAAAGAGAAGAGGGAAAAGGAAAAAGGGGAAGGGGGAAAAATTTTTTTCTCTTTCCCCCTTCCCCTTCCCCCTTTTTCCTTTCTCTCCCCTGAAAACAAAACCCCTTCCCCCAAAGTTTCCCTTTATAACCATTTAAAAAAAGCCGTGGGCCAGTTAAAACTTGGGGGGGGAAAAAAAGGGCGTGGTTCGAATCCCGAATCGTCAATGTGCCCTTAGAAAGGCACAACCCTAATTGGGTCCGAAGGGCTCTGGAAAGCCCTTTCTAAAAGACTAAAAAGTCAATGTAAATGTGTCCCTTATCCTCTTGGTACCCTCTTTGACACACGGAAATATACCAACACCATCCACCAACCATCCCTCCAAATAATCAATATTACTACCAATAATTATGTGCCTTGCATCCCTTTTTGAGTCCCTGATGTGAGAACAGGGGAGCCCATCCAGGATGAGATGGAAGCATTATTTTGGAAAAAACCAACAAAGGCTTGAATGTAAAGCCCCTGCAGCATGTCTGGCCTGGGGTTGTGTTTGACTTGGTGCTGGAACTGGCTACTGCCTCCATCAGGGACATGGGGAGGGGGAGAGGGGAGAGGGAGGAGAGGGGGAGAGGAGGAGAGGAGGAGAGAGGCAGGAGAGGGGGAGAGGGAGGAGTTGGTGCGGGATGAGGAAAGTGGAGAGGGCGTGGAGGAGCGATGAGGAGGAGGAGGAAGAGGGGGGAAGTAGAGGAGGAGAGGAGGACGAGGCGGAGAGGAGGAGAGGGGGAGAGGGCGGCGGAGGGGGAGAGGGGATGAGAGGAGGAGAGGAGGAGAGGGGGAGAGGAGGAGAGGATGGAGGAGAGGGGGGGGGAGGAACGACGGAGAGCGAGAGGAGGAGGACGAGAGGAGGAGAGAGGAGAAGAGGGGCATAAGGGCGGAGAGGGAGGAGAAGGAGGAGAGGAGCGAGAGGAGGGGGAGGAGCGAGTGCAGGAGAGGGGGGAGAGGGGGAAGGAGGAGAGGAGGGAGAGGGTAGGGAGAGGAGGAAGAGGGGGAGAGGAGGAGAGGAGGAGAGAATGGAGAGAGGGGGAGAGGAGTAGAGAGGGAGAGGAGGAGAGGGTTGGAGAGGTGGGAGAGCGGAGAGGAGGAGAGAGAGGAGGGAGGAGAGTGTGGGGAGAGGAGGAGAGGAGGAGGGGCGGAGGGGGAGAGGAGGGAGGAGAGGAGGACGAGAGGGAGAGGGGAGAGAGGGAAAGGAGGGTGAGGAGAGAGCGGAGAGGAAGAGGAGCGAGAGCGAGGAGTGAGAGGAGGAAGGAGGACTGAGGGGGAGCAAAGCGACTCGAGGGGGAGAGCATGGGAGAGGGGAGAGAGCGAGAGGGCGAGAGAGCGGGAGGAGGAGGAGACGGGAGAGAGGGAGATGAGGAGAGGGGGAGAGGAGGATCGGAGGGGGGACGCAGGAGGAGGAGTAGAGGGGAGCCTGGGGCAGAGGAGAGACGGGATGAGGAGCGAGGGCAGAGAGGGGGCTGAGGAGGAGAGGAGGCATGAGGTGGGGAGAGGAGTCGGGGAGGAGGACGAGGGAGGGCACGAGGGGGGGCGGTGAGGAGGAGAGGGGGAGAGGAGAGGGTGGGAGGGGAGAGGGAGAAGGGCGAGAGGACGGAGAGGAGGAGAGGGGGTGAGATGGAAGGAAGAGGAGGAGAGGAGGATGAGGAGGACGATGAGAGGAGAGGAGCGAGATAGAGGGAGGAGGAGGGGAGGAGAGAGGAGAGGAGGGAGAGGAGGATCGACGGAGTGCGGAGAGAGATGGCGGAGGAGAGGAGGAGAGAGGAG